CACCATAATCATCATCATCATCATCCCTGCCAACCCAATCATGCTCATGCTGATCATGAATACATCCAGCGTCACCACCATCAAAGTCGTCATGCCAGCGGTAGCGCTGCCACCGTCACCATTGTCATCACGATTGCTATCGTCATCATCATCTTCATCCTCCCCAACCACATACCCAATGGAGACAGTGACTTTCGCGTTGGGAGAACTGCAGGCAACACCAACATGCGATATACCAGACTGCAAAGGAGTGACACCTCTATCTCGTAACCGGTTCGGTTAATCGTAAAAGAGCGATGCCACACAAAAATCTCCTTAAACAGCCAGCAATCGCGACAGCAAGAACAGCAATTGGAAGCTTCCGCAAACAAGGGGCCCCTATGTAGAACCCTACAAAAGTAATGATTCCTACAGGGACCCCCAGAGAGGCAACCGTGATTTCCTGCACCCCCCACCCCCCAATTAGAAGGCACCTGGCAGTCATAGAGTCGCTGGAGCAGCGAAACACAGCTGCTCTTGCCGCTCCCAGACTGACCCACAAGGGCCACGACCTGCGAAGAAAACCCACGGCTGGTGAAGACGGATTCCAGCTCTGGCGGTTTAGAAGCTTCGGGATGAACAATTTGGGAGTGTGAGGAATTGGGGCTTCTAGCGATAGCTTGTAATTAGAGGGCTTCAGGAAGCGAGACGGCTAGCAGGTGTCCGCGCTGCACTGCCAGCATCACCAGAAAAAGCCTGGCTAAAGGCAGTCAGACAAAGCCACCGGAACTCTGACGTTGCTGCCTGATCCATAACCGTATCACTGACCTTGGAAGCAGCGGCTTCCTGAATTCCTGCCTGGTTAGGCTCGGCGGTGAAGCTCACCTTTTTCAAGACCTGTTGGTCTGGGCCTAAGCAACATCATGGCACGAGGCATCTCAAGAGTTCTGCTCCGATGCCCGAGCTCGAGCTTTTTTTGCAGCAGTCAGGTGGAGGACTGCAATCCTCAGTGCCCGACGGGTGACGTAAGCAAAGGAGACGCCCTGGAACTCCACCTACAGCTCAACTTAAGAGAAAAGGTGCCCGCAGCCCTGAACCTTTAAACTTCTCCCTCTTAAGAGAGGGGCATGAGCTTGCGTGAACCACTGCGATACTAACAAAATCCCCTGTGCTCAGACTATCTGTCAATACTGTTACGATTGTGATCTTGAACAACAGTGCTGCTATGGGAATTGCTGCCGTACCATTTCAATCTCAGCAGCTTGCGATTGCTTACCCAATCTTTTGATGGCAACTGTCAGCTAGCATAGATCTGATACTGCAATGTCATAAACACCCCAAACCAAAACCCCACACCCTGCATGCTAAACCGTTCGTAGACCCGGCCTTCCCCCGACAGTCGCCAGGATCCACTTGGCCCTCTGACTGGGCCTCAGATGAGACCATCGTTCCGCTGCTCATGTAAGGGCTTTAATAAAACTCTGGGACTTTCGACAGGGAAGGCTTGCGGGCGATTTCTAGACTCGTGGCGCAGAAGTTGCGCCAATCATGTGAGCACCAGAAGTGTGACAGAGTCATCATACAGTACAAGAGTCTTGAACTCCTCCACGTATTCACAGCGACACGTGTCCAAATGTTGCTGGCTCACCGACACCCTCTGACAAAGACATGCAAGAACGCCGTTTGGGTGCCTCCCACAAAGAAACCCCAAACGGGCTAACAGAATAAGCAAGGTGATCATCACGCCACGAACATCGACATCAGGTGTAAGCACCATGAGGATTACTTTCACATGGGCTCGTGGGGTTTGGGACCTCTTTCTGCTAGAGAGCTGCCATCGTGGAGTTCCAGATACGTGACGAAGCTGGATCTTTCAAAAGCAGTCGAAGTATCTAGTGCGATCGTTCATGTGCACATCAACGGAACCGGAAGAATCCGGACTAGAGTCTGGAGCAACACCAGGACGCTTACGGCTGCCAGAGCAAGGAGGCACTGTCCTGGTGTTCCTCACGAGCTACTGATTTGAAGCACTTGCAGTCACATGCACATGCTCCCACGCCAAAGCACCGGTTCCCGGTCAATGATCTCGAAGATTTTGACAGTTGCACCAATGGCGGAAGCGAAGCTGGGCATGATGCCTGCTGCTGCTAGCGCTTTCACAGCAGGATTGCATCCCGGGTGCTTGGTTGGGACTCGGTGAATGCAATGAGTCGTGCATTGGCGGGAACAGTCGCTTTGGCAGGCGTGGCTTTCGGTTGAAGAACTGACAGACTAGAAAGCACCTGCTGAAAGTCGAGTGTTCATCCCTCGCCAAAACATCCCAAGCCACAAATCGCCAACCCAGAAACTAACTCTAAACCCTTTGGGCCCTTGAGTTTCTGAGGCCCTAACTGCCAAGCATGGCCACAGAGCCGGACAAGCTGACCTGAGCGTATCAACTGAGGGGTCGGAGGCGTGTAAAGTGCATGGATCTGCAGCTTGCGGGCTTGAAGCCTCTTTAATTTCAACTTTACACTCCTCTTGATCTATGGCTGTTAATGGTAACATCCCTGCCACAATGTCAGCACTGTCAAGTTCATCGTCATTCATCCTGTTGCTTGTGGTGCGCTCTTCGCCGCTTAAAGTATACCGTCACCTCTGAACATTTCATGGCCCAAGGCTGTGGGCTTGAGAAGCGGTCTTTCCGGCAGTCCTACTGACTGCTTGAGGATGCTCATGGCCTAAAATTAGACTCCCCCTACAGCAATTTCTCGTTTTAACTTGCGACAACGGCTTAGCTTCCTTAGGCAGTGAGGGCTGGAGGGAGAGGCGGAATCTCAAGAGCACGGAAGCTTCCCTCCGAGGGAGCCGGAATAGGTGCTGTGTCAAAGGTATGGTAACGACATAGCAGCTCCACATAAACTCCAAGAGTTGGATCCACTGCTTCGGGATTGGAGAAGTCAATGCGGTCTCTTCGGGCTTTTCTTTGCGCGCCCTGAGCGACTCAACCCTGAATGGCCATTTCCTGCCAGGCACCGTGTAGAGGACAAAGGAGATCAGCTGCCCGGAGGTCATCTCTCCCTCGTGGACGAGGGTCGCACCTTTTGGGGTTTAGGGCTGAGGCCTTGTCTCGGTGAGGGTTTTCGAGGAGTCAGGTACGGTCTGGAGTCTTACCCCTAACCACTGGGCCATGTTTGTGCAATGTTTATGCCCGTAGAACACGATGGTGCTGGCTCCTACACAGCAAGGCCCCGACCGTACCGAAGCACAATGGTGAAAGCCACGAAGAAGAGCATGCCGACCTGACTCGTCACTTTGCAAGTCGTCTCTGCACTAGCTCATGCTGCTGTTGCTGCACAACCCGAGTTTCCAGCTACGCCAGACCATGCTCCGTAGATCATCGATCGCTGTCGTCCATATCGGTAGACGAGATCACTTGCAGCACCTGTCCACGCGTAGCGACTCAGCTTGCAGTCTGAGACAGTTCAGGCCTAGGAGGCGCTTGCAAAGCTAGCGGCCGAATGCCCAACGCTGTTTGCATGAATCTAGGTGTGCCACGTTGTGCAGGTTACGACTTGCAGCGTGGAGCCACTGGCAATCTTTCTGTGTTGCCTTCGGCATGCCAGTTGCTGCCCCTGCTTACGAAACAATTTCTGCCGGGCTGCAATACTTCTTGTCCATCAGCTTTTCTCCGGAGCTGAAAGCACGGACTGTGCGAAGATTGCCAAAAGTCTCTGAGGCCAGATTTCCGACTTCTGCGGTCCTTGGTTCTCCACGAACAAACTGCCAAGCGGTGTTTGCAAGTATAACCCCGGCCCTGAAAACTCCAGGATGTGAGCACAGCAGGATGGAGGTTGTTGGCAACTTGCTACATGACTGCATCGTCTCAAGCTTTCGAGTGCGAAACGTCTCCAGAGACAATTTGAATCCGCCCCGAGTTCTGAGAAATATCCCACCGGCATATGTATCGGAACCCGGTCCCACGCACATGGACAACGGACGGCTGTTGCCGAGAAACTGCAGAAGAAGGGCATACCCCCAAACCTCCAATTCTTCTCTTTATTCCTCTCTGTTCCATTTGGATGCCCACTCTGAGCTCGCGACTACAAGTTGCATGGGCAAAGACAAGGCCAAGAATCTCATCCTGGTACTTCTTGCTCACGCGCTGGGAGATCTGACTCATGAACACGGCCAGAATGCTAACCTGGATGTGGCTCAGGGCTTTCAGCTGAGCCTGGCTTGAACGGTCTTTTAGGATTCGGGACCCTCCAAACATAGCAGCACAGAGTATCGAGTGCGGTACAAGGTACAGTACAGCCCTCGTACGGTGTGAAAGCGGTCTTGTGCGGCTGACATGTCCAAGCGACTACCACGCGTGCTAATCCTAACCGCAAATCAAGGGAAGATTCGTTCATTCTCTTTTCCTATCGCAGCCAAGACACGACTGGCACTGTGACGAGCATAGCTAAGGTCAGCTTCCAAGAAGTCACCTGGGAAGGACAAATGAAAGCTATTGGAAGTAGAAATCATAGCAGTAGTAGTAGTAGTAGTCGTCGTCGTCGTCGTCGTGGTTGTTGTTGTTGTTGCTGTTGCTGTTGCTGTTGTTGTTGTTGTTGCTGTTGTTGTTGTTGTCGTCGTGGTTGTTGTTGTTGTACTAGTACAATGGCGGCAGGAGCAGAAGCAGCAGCAGCAGCAGCAGCAGCAGCAGCAGCAGCAGTGCTGGTAGCAGTAAAAGCAGCAGCGGTAAAACAAGCAATCGTAGTTGTAAAAATGAAAATGGAAAACCATAGCAACCAGAAAGAACAGATATGATGACCATAGATCGGTAGAGACGGCAAGGCTAAGACCACTGTGGCTGCCGCTTTTCCTAAGCAGAGCGACGAAGGGTTCGGCCTGCCAACTACGGTCGTCAGACGGGGAATGTGTAAACAAATCGAACCCAACACTAGCACAGGACAGTGCCAACTTGGTTGTGAGTGGTTGTTTAGGCAGTCTTTGGCAGAGTCGCGAGCATCACGAGCACGGACAACAGCAGGCTAGCGCTGCTGCGAAGGAAAATGGAGATGTTCGAGCTCGCCTCGGATGGCACTAAGCCCCAAGGAGGAGCACTCGAGCTCCACGAATGCATCTGAGACGTCGTTCGTTGCAGACTAGATGCGGCATTCTGCAAAGTGCCGGTATCATTTGTCAACCGGGACACCAATGCCTGGCCAAAAAAGGTGCTGCACGACTAGGATTACAAGGAATTCTCTTGGAAGCCCTTTTACCTACTCTAGTATAACTATAGCATACGACTACAGTATACGATAATATACTATAGCATACCAAAAAAAAACAGTGCCGACAGAAGGGCCCCAGTTGTCTGCACATCGAAGAAGGCAATCTCTTGGCGGAGCAGAGCTCGGAAAACCTGGAACTTCACAGGGTGTTTGGTGGGTTAAGCAGTATAATATAATATAGTATATTTATAGTATAGTCTAACATTCTAGTATATTATAGTACATATATTATCGTATATTATAGTAAGTTGTATTAATTTCTACTAGAAAACAATATACGAGCGTATATGGTGGGTTTAGGGTTTATGGGTACGTCTCTAAAAGAGGGGGTCCCAGTTTTAGGGTTCCCATAGAGGGAACTACAAGGGGGGGTACTCTACAATAAGGGGTCCCGTTTCTTGAAGGGATTAACGAGGGTACTATAAGGGTAGTTCTCTACATTAGGCGTTTAGGGTTTAGGGATTGGGGTTTAGGGTTTAAGGTTGAGGTAGTTCTCAAAATTAGCGTCCCGTTTAGGGTCCTTTTTAAGGGTGCCGTACCATTTTGGTGGCCTAAACCGGGACCCCAATTTAGAGCACTAACCGCATGACCACTTGATGGCTGGATTCTGACATGGAATCTGCAGCCTGAAGACTTGCCTAAGCCTTATAAGCGGTTGCATACTGGCATAGGGAATTGAGTCCAGACAGCTGTTTTTCGACGGGCATCGGATCATGAACAGCATGTTTCGCGAGTATCTGTGCGCAAAGTTCTTTGCCAATATGTCCAAAGCTGTCATCACCCTGACATCTAGAATCGACAAACACCGTGCATGGCGGCAGCATGCGGCAGCCAACCAGAAGAGGACTGAAAAGAAACGACTTGACTTGAACGCTCATGCTGGTAAGCCGAAGCCAAAGTCGTTGCTTACTTTAAAAGAAAAACACATGTGTCAACACTTCACAGTTTAGGGTGCATAGCCTGCTTCCTCAGCTCGCAGACGATGCGCTCGCCGGCGAGGACGAACAAAGCACCTGACAGGGAATCTTCCAGATGTTCGAATCCTTCTTTTTCAGGATCCTCCTCCCTGTGTTCTTGCTGCTGCGGCCATTGTGTCCTTCACTGCAACTTGGCTCTCTCCTGTAGCTAGAATCTAGAAGATGATCCCTACACCTGTAACGAAAAGAGCAGGTCAAACAGCATGCTTGATAGTCGCAGATAATTTTCATGATAAACTTGATAGTTGCCCTGGATCGAACCCTTGGCCTCGGATCATGGAGGTGAGTGAAGAAGCGACGGCAACGACCAGGATTTCGGCTGTCACCTCTCTCAGAACAGGCGCGGTTGGCAAGAGCTGCATGTAGGACCCGAACCCTCGACAGATCGAGGCCTCTGACGAGCAAGCCACCCTAGATCTGATATGCCCTATGCGGAAAATCAAGTGTGCTCGAATGCGCGGCCTTGCACAACATTCATCAAGCTATGCCATTAGATCTCTTCCCCATCAAGTGCTCGAACACTACATCCTGACACGAGTCTGACGCACACGCCCGGCACCTGGTTTAGCGCATCCATCGACACTCCTTCCTGACGGCCGACCATCTCGACGAAGCGTCCGCCATAATACGGCAAAAGCATGAATAAGGCACCTAAGCTTCGACGTGGCCAGTTAGAGCTCAAGACCTGTAGTCTTCTGGCTCCCTGAGATCTGGAGCATCTCGGATGTGGCTTGTAAATCCCGAAGACTTGCAAACCCAGCTGCTGTTGAGATAAAGGCTGAAGGTGGCCGGAATGAGGATTTTGTACTCGCTGGCTGCAAGCTTGAAGATCTTGCCTAGGTCCAGGCATATGCTTCGAAGCTGCTCGCAGCTCGATGTGTTTGCAAGAAAGAGAACTGCCGCGATCAACACGCAGTGCTTGTCGAGGGAGTTCCGTGCTCTTGTCGTGATCAAAATTCAACGCACGCAATCATGGGCCATGCCGGCAAAACACATTTTCAAGCACTTCCCATCCTGAGGCTTATGGGCCGGTCCGGGCCAAAGCTATACTCCGAAGAAAGTCTAGCCACATATAAGCATGTGCGCATTCTTGCGCGCGCACGCACGCGCGCGCGCGCGCGGGTGTGTGTGTGTGTGCCCTTGCAAGGTGATACTGCGTGGCGTTGCCTGTGGCCAAAGGGAAGGTAGCAGCAAATTTCGGACCTGTAGAGTCTTATAAAAGTCGCGCCGCCCGTCGCCGTGTTCTTCTGGGCCAGGAGCGCACCAAGAAAGATGGAGATCGCCGAAATGGCAATGATGACCTCGCGCACGCAAGGAGTTGCTCGGGTACACCCGAGATGCCAAGCGACTCCGAGACTAATGCCATAACCTAATTGCACCTCCCAAGACCACCCAACATCTGAAGCCTTCAAGCTCAAAATTCCGAGAACCCCTCATTGGGCAAAAAACCCTAACACAACCCTCAATGCATGAGAGGGCATGGGCCCCGAACGACCACGGCCACGATGCCAGCTCCCAAAGGTGTGACCCCCTTGGGCAAAGTCATTCCACCTGGAATGGGCTTCAGGATTAGGGCTGGTGGGGTTCAGGGATTGGGATCTCTAACGACTGGGGTTTGGGGCCCGGGTTTGGAGTTTAGGGTTGGGCCCAGGTCTTGGAAGCTTATGCATGACTGGCAGGATCTGCCGTAAAGGGTGGTATTGGGTTGCTCTAAACCCGGCTTCCTTTGGGCGTCTGTTTCAACCAGAGTTTGTTCGCAAAGGGACACTTAGAGAAGAGGGATTTGGAACTGCTCCACTCCACATGATACACATCTCATTGGAGCTTGAGCTGTGATATCCTGGGCTTTCGCTTCAGAATCAGGCTTGCATCGTCCGCTTGTACAGAATCTCGAAACTTCCCTGAGTCGCGTAGACAACTGGCCACTGTTTCTTGGAGGAGTATTGTGCGCCCCCGAGTACTCTTCGCTTCTTTCTCTCGCTCTCGCACGCGCTCTCTCTGTCTCTCTCTCTCACTCATTCCTTCCTTGACAAGGCTTCTTACGGTGTCGACTAAACAGACTGAAGCTTTTCGCACACACCTCGAGTCCACCGAAAGACAAGGACGCACTGAAAGTGCCTTTGCAAGTTCATCTAATTCGGCAGGCTAAGACCCTGCAGACTACACCCTCAATCGTTGAGTCCCTTGCCTCCCTAAGTCCCTGATTCTGCACTTGCAACTGCAATCCGCATGTCGAGCCTGGCACTGCACCCTCGCTTGCGTCCGTGTTGGCCAGCATGGGCCATGCCTGTACTGGAGTTTGATACAGGGAATGATCGGTTGTCTCATCTTCTGAGATCTTCATACTACTGGACCTACTCGACAAACGACGCAGTACTTCGCAGCCACTACGGCCACCCATCTGAAAACATCTCATGTAGTGGGGTCCGTCAAAGAGCGGTGGGAACCCGTTCGAAAAGGGATCTCCTAGTAAGCAAATCCCTGGCCTTAAGAAGCCCCAAAGCGCATGACCTGAACACCTCAGGCTCTTGGTCCCTGCGATCTATAGCGAGTCTGTGCAAATGCGTGGCAAGTTCCGTTGCATAGCCTTGCCTATAGGCAGCCCTCTGTGTGTGCCTCGTTTCCGCTAGCACTGCACAGCGCCCTGAGCAGTAAACATCAGCTTAGACGCCAGAGGATGGAGTGCGAAGTCCACGCTGTGCGTCAGAATATCCATGTCCTGACATTGGACAAGGAATCAGAGTTTGCATTGCTGCCTTACGGACGTTGTGATAAATGACCGTTCTTGTACAATCTGCGTGACATGTACTGACTAGTTAAGTGAGACCTGGACCCTCCCGGGTGATTGCTGTATCTATAGGGTGTCCAAGAAGGACCTCTGCAAGCGAGCCTCCGGCTGCAGCTGCGTGCTATCCTACAGTAACAAGAACGTTCATAGCGCAACTTGCAGAGCACTATAGGCCCCTTTACCCTGGCCGCCCATTATGCCTTCTCCTGTATATACGTTCTGGCTGTTGCAGTGAGAAGAACTGTGTAGGCCGTGATGGATTAGGCTTTCTAAAGCCTAAAACAAACGAGCCGAAACATGTCTGGGCAAGGTGCTCTCATGAGGGCTGGGGGCTGGTGGTGACGCAGCAGCAGCAGGTTTGGGTTAGGTGCAGGTGCCGGCGCAGGAGAAGCAGGAGCAGGTGCAGGTGGTGGTGGTGGCGGTGGCAGCGGCGGCCGTGTTGGTGTTGGTGCTGGTTGTTCTTGTTGCTGCTGCGGCTACTACACTGTCTAGTGGTTTGTGGCTGCAAGGCCAAAGACGCATCAGCAGCATAGCCTAGGTAAGACTTGGAACTTGGAATCACTTGAATCCCAAACCATGTCTCCATACCCGGCCTTCTTTTGGTGCAGCAAAGGCAGCGATCGCGAAGTCACAAGTCTCTCTTGTCCGGGAGTTGGGGGGTCCCTGGGTCCCTTCCAGGCGCTCTGCTGACTGCCAAGCTGATTCCGATTCCTCGATGCTAGAAACAGCGGAAAACGCCAGAAATGTTGAGGCTTTGCCGGCAGACCAGGAACGTGGGCACTGGATGTCTGTCCATAAGCAGAAAACCAAGGCTGTCTGTGCGTGTATGCGGAAGCAGAAGCATTAAACCAGCAGCTGCGGATTGTATGGACTGGATCTCGTTCGCCAAACATTGCTGTTCCATCAGCGACAGGTCAGCCAGTGTTTGTCGGCATAAAACCTATCGCTGCGTGAGAAACATCGAAACTGTCGGTGGGGATGCCTTTTCCAGGATTTCCTGCCTCTTCTCGAGCAGGATCCTTGCAAGGATTCTGAGTCAGAATAGCTGCTATAGACTAGCTTAGCCACACCGTTTGCAGTCCACGGCATGACGGAACAGGGATGTTCGCTTGAGCTGACCTGGCGCCATGCCTCACGAACTAACCAACCAGTGAAGCATCGGCGTAACCTATAAAGGGTTCATCGGTTCATCAGTTCATCTACTGCAGACCCTAATTATTTACTAAACGCAACATCTTCGCGCACTGCCCCCAGATCTTCATGTAAGGGCTCTTCGGTGCTGGAAAAGACTGAGGGCCTTGCATTTTTGCATCCTTGCTGTTTGCCCGCACCGATGCCGATATAGGCTGGGAGCAGATGGACTATGGACGGAGGGGCTTGTACCTGAAATACTTCGTGTCCACTGGTCTACGCCCATGAACACTTCGATCTTCCGCTGCAGCTGTACTACAAGTGCAGCAAAAACACCCAACTCTGCCACAAAAGCTACGGCTCCAGTTTCATATCTGAGACCGAAACCCCTCCTCAGCGAAGTGCAGTCTTGCGGACAAGGTACCGGCAGCTCCGGGGCTTTTGGATTTCCAATTCCTGCCTTTCGAAAGCAAAACCCGGACATGCCTCACTGTAATGAACATGGTCGAGATTGGTAGAGTATAGCGTGGTATGTCATGATATAGCATAGTCTAGCATAGCAGCTGCTCCCTAAACCAAGCCCTGATTGCACACATCTCAATCTGTGAACCCAAACTGCCTGTCGGTATATTACGTAACCGACGTAACCGAGACCTATCCCAGAAGGAGATGCGCCAAAGTAGTGGTGTCGGAACCAAACTTTTGAACAGCAGACTCCGCAAGCTTGCCTCGCCTGGTGCATTGTGTCCAAGAGCCTTTTCGGGTCGACACCTGCACATGATGATCGAAGAAAAGGGTTGGAACGACGCTGAGTCGGGGGCCGACAGCTTATAAGCTCCAGATTTCGACGCCACGGACGGCTCTCACAAGCAAAAGATCGTCGAATGTCTAAAAGATCCAGAGAGGATCTTTCTGCACTTCGCTTCCATCCCGTCCTGCCTCGGTTTCTTTCTGTGGCCGGGGCCAAGGCCCTCCGCCGCAGTCCCACTCGGCTCAACTGCGGGGGAGGCTTCCGAGTGCGAGTGCAGGAGGGGTCCCAGGAGGCTGCTGGCAGAAACAGTTGCCACTGCTATTGCCGCATATATGAGAGTTGCACCGAAAAGAAATAGATCTTGCATACAGTTTGCTTCAGGGTTGGAGATTGGAGCTTTGAGGATTGCGGCGGGAGCCTCCGGTTTGATGGTCGAGACTTGTTGCAGGCTAATGCTAAGGATGGTTATAGGGATTCAGGGTTTGAGGACAACCTCGTCAAACTTCCGCTCCGACATCCTTATCCGTATCCTCCTAAACAAGCGGCTCCGTCTGCAGGAAGAGTTCAAGGCTCATTTCACAAGATGTTTGTACAAATGCTGCTGCTAGTAGCGGGCAGATGCTGCAGTATACTGGGAAGGCACGGAGCAATCCTTTTTCCTCCTGGCTGCGTCACACGTATGCCGGGGATTCCAGTGTCGGCAATCAGCATGGCCACACACGAGGAAAGGCCTCGCAGAGACGTGGTTCAAAGATACGAGAGGCTGCCTGCCAGAAAGGCTCTTATAGATCTCTATGTCAGCAAGCTTACCACAAGGTTTCCAACTCTAAAGGCAGCGTGTGAATTGATTGCTGTACGGGAAGAAGGCATACATGATGATTACGATGATGGTGGTGGTGGTGGTGACCAGGATGATGTATGATCCCAGCCGCAACCCATTCCAATGCAAACCCCACGTCTAAGGACCTCCTCCCTCCCTGCCTCCCTCCCTCCCGTCCCTCCATCCTCACTCACTCGCACTCTAGTGTTCTCTCTCTAGGTGTCTCTCGCTCTCTCTCTTTCTCTCTCACTCCCTGTCTCTCCCGCTCTCTCTCTCTCTCTCTCTCTCGGCAGGGCTGTGGTCAAGAGGGTTGCCCCCCTTGCCCGCGCACCGTCGGCGCCCCCGACCATTGCGGAGGACATCTGTGAAAGTGCTCACATGCCACCAAGGCCAGTTTAGCCTATGACATGTCGAACCTCATGCTCTATCGAGGGAAACTGGGTTCAGAACAACGGAAATAGCACCGGGGTCAAGTCCCCTCAAGAAAGGCAGATAGCAATTAGAAGGCCCCGAAGGAGGCTTTCATTTCCTCTCTCAACGCACTGGGACTGCAAACTAGGGTCACCTCCCAGAGCAAGACGGCGAGAGAGCTCTAGTCGGCAAAAAACCATGGATAAATCAGATCAACACAGTCGCCGTCATGCTGCATGTTGACCCTAGTAACAGCTGCTTGTTCGGAAGTTGAAGGAACCCAAATCAAAACAATCCCGATCGAACCGACCGAAGACAAAGGAACCTGAACAAAAGTTCAATTGTGAAGGTGGCAGCTGTGTAAGGCCAATCTCTCTTGCTGTTCCGGGGTTCTCCCCGCAAAATGCTGTCACCACCTTGGAAGGCCCCCTCATGGCAGCCGCTCTCTCTCTCTCTCTCTCTCTCTGTCTCTCTCTCTATCTCTCGCTCTCGCTCTCGCTCTCATCCAGCAGCATGAGCAGTCGTCATCTCCTACCCCGCGCGTCGTCGTCATAGGACAGCACCAGTATCACCATCGAAGTCAATGCCACCATCCTGTCCACTGACCAGAGTCGACACTGTCCTCCTCCCATGTCAACAACATCACCATCATCACCCTTCAGGAGCGTCACAAAAGCTAAAAAGCAATGCCCGGGCCACGTTCGGCCTTGCAGGTAATCTTGTCCCCATGGCAAAGCCCATGCGAGGCGTCGATCTCCGGCCTGGCTCAGGCAGCTTTTATGCGACTTTGCGGATTGCAAACCACAGTTCATTAACGAGGCAACCTCGTCTGTCCTTCGTCCTAAAGATCAAGGGGTCGGAGGCTCCGAGCTATCTGGCCCTGATGCGTCTCGGGCAACAACTTTGGATCCGTTGGTGGGCGCACGCTTCGTTCTACGAGGGGGGCTGCTCGGCTCAAGAATCAGTAACCTGTTACATCTTGCGGAAAACCAGCAATCTTAGCCACAACTAGTGCTACAACATAGCTTCAATGTGACACGACATGTGTGTTCCAAGCATGACTGATATGACCATCAGATCGCAAAACAGTAGGCCACTAGCTGCGCCGCGGATGTTGCAGAGCACAAGAACGGCTTGCGCTTTGTTTGTGAACTCAACCACCTTTGGTAAGCAGTGTTGGATGCCGTCTCCCAGTCTAACGGACACTCTCAAATTCATCAGCTTTGTGTAGCCTCAGACTATGATGGTTGACAGTTCTGAACCTGCATAAGCACGAGACGTCTGAAGCTTTTCATGGTCTTCTGTAAGCAGCTGTACGGCGCAATCTGCCACCCCAAGCACACGCCACTTCTGCAGCATCTGTTATGTTGCAAGTTGGCAATGCCGCAAAAATTATGTAGATTGCATGGCAGGTGATGTGTTTACTACACCTGAGGCACCTCCTGGCACGAAATGCACGAAAATACCAAATTCAAATCGTCCATACACCACGTCGGGCAGCGAACATCGGTCGATGATGCCCAGCTGTGATTTGACAGACATGGTAGAAACATAAAACCTCTCGAGGCCCACATAGCATGAAACTCTGATGTGGACTAGTGCCCCAAACTGTTGGTCGGAGCGTAGCCCTTTCATCAGAAATCAGCCGACTTCACCTTGATCACACTGTACTGATAGATATACGATCCATCCTCGGAAAGGCAGGGACTCGGAGTTCTGCTGCGGCCGGACTCGTCCTCTTCACACTCCGACCAGAAAGAGGCCGGCGAACTCGAGCGTGATCTGGAAGACGACGAAGGAGGACTCACTGTTGGTGAGGTGGAGCTGGCCATAGAGCTGCGTTTGACTTTCGAGCTGTCTGTGAGACGTCCTCGCACGCCAGTGTCTCCAAGCTCCTTGGAGTCACTGTAGCCTCCGTCTTTTACAGGCTCATCCTGAGAGCTCTTGAAGCTCAGGCACGGCAGTGAGATGCGCCGTTGCTGCAGCTGGGGTTCCCTCTGAATCTGCGTCGGCATTCGTGGCCGCTCACTCGCCATTAGGCACGAGCGCTTACCGTTGCCCTAATCGGGCTAGCCCTCTTGAGAGAGTGGCTGGGTCCGGACGATGTCTTCTTCGGAATGGCAGATGTACTTTGGCCTTTTACAAGCAGACATGAAATACACTGCTGGTCGAAGCATGCTAGCAGCTGGCAGTGGTCGTGATGGGGTGACGGGGCTGCTGGTGCTGGAACAACTACTACTAGCAGCAAGAATGGCAGGAGGGGAAGTCATAGCACCGGCTGCAGGATACAACAAGAACAAAAGAAGTCCCGATACCTCTCACCTGCAGCCACCCTAGAAGCAGTAGCGGGAGCAATTGGCAAGCAGTAGAGTAGCAGTAGCGTAGCGGTGGCGGTAGCGGTGGTGGTAGCAGTAGCCGGTCAGCGGCAGTCACAGAAGCAGCCGCATCAGCAGCCGAACAAAACAGAAGAACGAGTATAACAGCAAATGACAACAGTATTTACACCACAAGCGGTAGTAGAAGCAACAATCGCAGGCGGCGGTGAACAGTTGCAAGCAGGGCTAAAATACCATAGTAGTGATAGTGGTAGTGCATCTGCGGTTCCTACCACTCTCATCTCGTTCCTCTCGCTGCCTCTTCTCTTCATGCTACTCATGGTCCTCCTACGATGATGGCGGCGAGCAGGCTTACTGCTTCGTGCGAATACTACGATTACTACAAGTCCTCCTCCTCCTCCTACGACAACACGACAACAACTACACGAACAAAAACTACGTCTATTACCACTACAATAAACTGACTCCCACCACCACGACCGTGAACACGACTACCACTGCTACTGCTACCTGCTGCTGCTTCTACTGCTACTGCTACCGCCACCGCGACTGCCACTACGCCTACGACGACGACCACCACTGCTACCACCACAACCACCAGCACCAGCACCAGCACCAGCACCAGCACCAGCACCAGCACCACCACCACGCCACCACCACGACCAAGACCACTACCACTACAACCACTACTGCTACTGCTACTACT